AAACCGTAGTGTGTCCAGTAGGATGGAGCACTGCCCACGAAAGACTGCGACTTGCCTTCCTGGGGTGCCACCTCAGCTATGGGATGGATATGGAGAAAGGTTCTTGGACCCTTCACAACAAGGAATCTGTCACTTGGCAAAGCTGCCTGCAGTGCCACTTTTGGTGGGGAGGGGGTTCAGGCCTAGTGCCTGCCTTAGGTCCTGTCCCCAGTGTTATTCCTGCCACCCGTTTCTGTCCAAACACCAACAGGCTGTTCTGGACCTGCACTGGTAGTTGGTCCCCCTCCTAGAGCAGACAAAAGTCATTTTGTGGACAGGGTTGTTTGATGTGGAACCTGTTTCACTAGAGAAGACAATTCAGCAACCCAGGAAGGGTCCTTCCAGTCTCCTCTAACAACAAAATGACAGTCCTGATCTGTGAAAACCCATCCTCAGCCTGAGAGGCAGAACTGAAATACACCTGGCCGCAAAGATCTCCCTATGGAGAAATGAATGCTGGCTAGAAAAGGCAAGCTGTAAGCATCCCCATGAGAGGAAGGGTGGTCTCCAGTGACCTGCCCTTCTTCTAAACAAGCAGATTTTGCATTAGGAGAGCTGATTGCTGGCAGACACCGTGGCTGAGGAAACAGAAGCGCAGTCAGACCTGGACAGGCCATTGCAGCGCTCTGCAGCGGCTCTCGGTGCTGCTGGGACAGGAAAATGCGTGTCTTAAAAGCAGCAGCCAGAGAGCTTCAAAGAAGGTTAGGCAAAATATCGACCACGGACTATGCGTTTTACTACCAATTACTACGGATTTAAGTGTTGCTGGCTTTATTCTGAAATCAAGCCATTACAGTGCCTAAATCACAGTAACCCCGCAGAGCTCTGTCTCAGCAGACATTACGTGATGTTTCTTTGCCGTCACCACATCAGGCTGGCTGGATCCCCCCACATTGGCCATGCTGCTGCCAAGGTTCAGCCCGTGGCCCGGCGTCTCCGGAGCAGATCTGCTTCCCGCTTTACCCACCTGGAGCAGTTCCCATCGATTTCCTCCTCCACAAGACACACGTTAGCGGCCGGTTTCAAAACCAAACCCACGGCCCCGAGCAGCAGGACCCTCTGTGCTCCTCGGCACACCGCCACCACTAAAAGAAAAAATTGCAAGACAGGGGCGGTCTCCCACAAAAACTAGCAAGCATTTGGGATTGGGTGCTTACACGACCTATGTAAACGTGTGGCATCGCCTGCTTGCCTTGCCAGAGGTTGTGGCTATTAAAAAGTGAAGCGTGGCCACGTTTTCTCCAGAGAACGTTACTGCTCTGTGTGGCGGACACAGCCCGGCGGCCGCGGGGCCGCTTGGCACCTGGGGGCCACACGGTCGTGGCCAGGGCTCCCCCGGGGGGCCGGGACCGGGTGCCCATGGCGGGGCTGAGCCCCAGGGAGTCCCGGCAGGGCAGAGGAGGCTCCGCCAGCCCCAGTGCGAGGCCCCCGCGCCACAGGGGAACGTTTCTTTCCCGGCGGAATC